AGGATTTAGATGGAGATACGCCTCGCCCCCCTCTCCAGCGTCTTGTTTGAATGACAGGAGTAAACACAGAATTAATGCTTTATTAATTCATGGTTTTTAAGGGGCTTATCTCCATGTAAATACTATGGTAGACTACCCAATATTCACATTACTCTAATCGCTCGAGTTTCACCGCGGCTGTCAGCTGTGTTTGCTCCTGTCATTCAAACAAGACGCGCTGGAGAGGGGGTGGGGCGTATCTCCATGTAAATCCTATGGGAGATACCAACTACAACCAAATGAACATATTTGACCGTGATTTAATTGTAATACACGTTTCAAAGTGATGCCGAAGTAACTACATACTGATAACGGTTAGTAAAAACCATGAATTAACGCTTTGACAAGTCTGCAGAAAAGACGGCAGGCGAAAAGCTTTTAAAATGCGTGTTTTCTGAATGGAATCGGATATACATATATATAAGGATATAAGGAATACCCTTTCCGTCCAATCTGAAATGCTGTTGTGTTTTCTGAAATGCTGCGGCATTTTGTGAAATGCTGCGGCGTTTTGTGAAATGCTGTAGTGTTTTCGGAAATGCTGTTGTGTTTTGTGAAATGCTGTTGTTTTTTGTGAAATGCTGTGGTGTTTTGTGAAATGCTGTGGTGTTTTGTGAAATCCTGTAGTGTTTTTTGAAATGCTGTAGTGTTTTCGGAAATGCTGTGGCGTTTTGTGAAATGCTGCGGCGTTTTGTGAAATGCTGTAGTGTTTTCGGAAATGCTGTAGTGTTGTTTGAAATGCTGTAACGTTTTGTGAAATGCTGTGGTGTTTTCTGAAATGCTGTGGTGTCTTGCACTTCAGGGCCACCTTCCTGGCAATGTTACCCACTGTGATTGGAGGCTATACAAACAAAAAAATGTAAAATAAAGATACACACCACACAACTGTGTCACGATGCAACTGTCAACATCGTTTACCTATAGAAGTGGTTCTGACCCGGGGCAGACTGGACCTCTTCCTGGAATGGGGTTGGTGCTCCATCCTATTTTTACCCAGGAAATAAGTGCACACAAAGGGATTTATTGATTTCATGTTCACAAATTCTAACCTACATGGTATAATTACATCTGTAATTAGTCTTACCCGATCAGACGCTGGTTGTGGGTGCCTGAGAGGTCTGATAAAGGTAAACAACAAATATATTCAAACTACTGTGCTGTTAAAAAATTCTGCTTCTTGTGGCACAACATAATATGTTGACAATGTTTTATTTTACCCTGGCAAACTGTTGTCCATTCGTGGAGTGCTCACTTTTGGAACATTTGGAATGTCCCACACCTGCATACACACAAATGACTGACTTAAATAAAAAATAAATTCACTTTAATTAAGAATGCCAGGATAAATCCAAACTGACCAAGGTACATTATATTGTTGACCGTCCTTTAACTCTCACATTAGGATTTACATAGGGGCACAATAAACCAACTCCTCTCTGCACCTATAATATATCTATATGATGTCAAGAGTTACATTTAGGTGCAAAGTGCTGTCTCTTGACTTGCAAGCTCTTTTACCAAACAAGCTAACGCTAGCTGGGTAAATATGACGCTCTTTGTATCAAAACAAAACGTACCTTCTTATATATCGACTTTTTCCACTTCTATCAACTTTGTTTCCTCCGGCTTCAATTTGCAGCACTCTTGTTCGCTTTCTCTATGTCTGGTCTATGGGCTCAGAACAGTCTCATAATATACACATGCACACCGAAGGATTCACACTTGTATTTCATGATCCGCAAAAGGATTCACACTTGTATTTCCGGATCCACACTTGTGTTTTTCAATGCACACACAAATGTGTTCCGTTTCATATACATGTAAATAAAATCCAAATACAGAAAAAAGTTTTAAATGTGTATTTTTGATCCACACATATTTGTTTTCCGTTTAAAACCTCTGAACCTGCAAACACAAACCGCTTTCTGTGCATGGATTGCTGTGCATTCGTGTGTGGGTTTTTTGAGACTCCCCTGACGCTCACCCGATTCGTACTTGTAATTTCTCTCATCTATAGCCAATCAGATGTCTCCTCAATTCTAAGCCAATCACATGAGCGCGCCCCCACGAGTGTAGAGTTATTGCGTTCATGACGTAGCGCTTCATTTACGCATTTTGCGCAGTCACAGGTCCATTGAGCCTGCCTGCAGGCGCTAATCTCAGGACACCTCCACTCTCAGTACATTGCCACTTTCCGAACAGGAAATGCACGCAAATACAAGCCTTTATATTATTAAGGTACAGCGCCACTTTCCGAACCATTGATGAATGCTTGTGTGTACACAAAAACGGCAGGCAAAACCGTTTTAAATGTGTGTTTCCTGTATGGCGAATACAGCTGCTTTATTTATGTCTGTATGAAGTTGTTGTGAGTGTGGAGGGAGCAGCTACAGGTTAGCTTAGCCAAATCGATCAGTGCATTACGAAACCAGTGCTAGACATTGAACTGTCAACGGGGGGGAGCCCCGCCGGTCATTATCAGCCGATATTCACTCTAAATAGTTTGATCGGTGCTCTCTATAAAGGCCGATCAGGAGAGCTGGATCTGATCGATATGGACATAAACGCGAGTGAAGTGTAACCGGACGCGAGAGAGAGATCAGATCAGCTGCTGAGTCTGACGGAGACAAGCAGCTCTGCATGATCACCTGAAGCTCCGC